ACCGGCAGCTGACTTAAAAATATCTGGAAGAAAATTGAAATCATGCAAACCATCGTGGGCAAGCTAAAGCTAACAAACCCACTAACATGCAATCGCGCGAAGCTGGCAGCCGAGACGCCTGGGTTTAGGGTTTAGCGCTAGGGATTAGGGTTCGCCAGCGCAGCTCGGCCCCCAAGTCAACTCCCTCTCTAAAGGCGGCTGCCCTGGCTTCTAATCTTTTGGATGCTTTTGCGTTTAAAGGACGTTCTCCTTCCGATTTGCGGAGCTCTTTCATAAGCCCTAAATGGCTCTAGACCAAAGGCCTCCAAAAGGCAAAAATTGAACCCACAAGGCCGAAAAAAGCTTACAAAAGGCAAACATGACTTCCACAATTGAAGGCGTTCACATTTTTAGCTACATTTGCGTGTATCGCACGTTCTCACTCATTTAGATGCCTGTTCCACTTTGCAGAGCTCTTTCAGAGGCCCAAGCTACAGGCTCAAATTTGCCTAAAATGGATACCAACGTCCCCAGAAGGCCCCAAAAGGCAAAAGCAAATTTCTTGGCCCAACCTTCTTCAATCTACTTAAACCTACCTTCGCTGGCAAGCCCACAAATGCTGCGCTGGCGCACAAGGGGGTAAGCCCCTTAAAGTTCAGGGCTTCATTTAGGCATGCTATTTATCTAGATGTGTTTATTTATCTGCAACAGGAATTCGAAGCGGAATGATTCAAAAAAAACACAAGTAACCGTACTAGCCAGTAAAGGCTTTAGTCGGGTGGAATTGCAGAAGATCCAAACCCCCTCCAATGGTCTGGTGAAGAAGCGAAGCTTGCGCTTTCGGATAGGGTATTACCTGATTATAACTTGGGGGTTTTCCTGCCTAGGACATGGGAGTTGCTTGCAAACATGTGCTGACCGCGGCGGCTCGAGGAAACAATCACGCGCCTTGAGCGTGCACGCACTGGCGGGTTGTACCTCAGCTGGGCTACTACTACCTTCCTAGCATTCTCCCCTGTGGTTTGCCTCTGCTTAGCAGGGAATGAAGGAAAGGAAAAGAGAATGGAAACGACTAGGTATTGGCGGTTGTATAGGGACTGCTATAAGGACCAATTGCTTCATTCCGTCCTAGACAGAGATAAGATGATGTATAGGGAAGACGCAAACCATGCCATTGCAAACCCACACTTTCCTGTTGACTTTGAGCCTGGAAAACCTTGACACAGTGCAAGATGTCGGGCAGTTGTCCTAGCTGGCTGCTATCCACAAGGAATGGATCCTGATAGTAGTCCCTATATAACCCATTATAATGGTTTCCATGTTCTTTTCCATGCATCACGCATGTTGTTCAATGAGCTTTCGGTCCCAAAGCCGGCTATCAGATCTTCATACGCCCGGACAAGAATCTCACAAGCCAAGGCAAGATCAAACATCATGAAACCCATGTAGACACCAACCTGCAAAAAAAATCGCCGTAGGCCTTGGGCTCAACATGATTTGGCTTCAGAGATGGTCCAGGCTCCCTCCAGGCTCAAAAATGAGTACCTTAAACCGCACCAAAATCGCTTTCTTCTCTTTTAGAACGCACTGCTTTGAGACCACAAGCTAAAGCTGAGGCATACTTCAGGGAACCGCACTTCGAACTCAGTAAGGAAGCTGTCACACATACAGTGTATGTATGTCATACACTGTACTTCGGCGTCTGTAAATCTTCAGTTTGCTTGAACTGCGCACGTCGGCCTAAACTGCACCAAACAAAACTTTTTCCCTCACAGGCATGTTGACGACGTGGGCTTGTGAACCGCTGAATTTTGCACATAATTATTTTGGCTGCTTGCGGTATACCCTGAAGATCAATGCAGGACATCTAGCACGACCCCTGTGCAGCCTATGCAACATCAGAATCCATGCAAACCCCAACATTCATTCTGTTGAAAAATGTTGGCCAGTTGTCCTGACTGGCTCCGTGCGCCGACCAAATGGATGGATGATCTTTGGATTTCGAGATCAGCTTTGACTTAAAATCACTTTCAAGTCCTGCCTGGAGGGGGCTGCAATGGGCCAGGGGCTTCACTTGAAATCGATTTCAAGCCCCTTATACGCAATATGTCCAGGCAGAAGGAGACACTTGAAATCGATGTCAAGTCCTTTTTCTGGTGAAGCCTGTTGCCCCGACTTCAATTTGAACTTAAATCCTGCGCACGCTCCACCTTGTTACTGGTGGCAATCACCTCTTGAATATCTGTAGCAGAACTGTCTGCTTGTCCGCTGTGCATAGACTGACTACAACTTGGTTGTTTGTTGCTGTTCTTCAAGGCTTCTGGAAGGATTAAATTTCTTGTTACCTGGGATCTTGCAGGGAGCTTTTGAGAGAGCAGTCTCATATCAGTCTAATTCTATCTACCTAGCATTGTTAGAGCTTTCGGGGCCTGTTGAAGGGAACTCCCCAATGCTGTTTTTCAGATGCGGGGGGTTGCCTTTGAAGGACGTCTCCTAGAGGTTAGCCTCTTGAAATTAAAGATTTTTGGTGGTTTTGGCGGTGAAAAAAGAGTTCTCCAATCAGCTAAGTGCTTGTTACTTGGGAAATGTCCTGGGGCGGAACCTGCTTTATACGTTTTTTTTCTGGATACTACAGATTCGTCCAGGGTGTCGCTGAAGCACTTGTCAGGTGTCGCCAAAGCACTTGCCAGGGAGGACCATCTGAAAAGTGTTCCAAAACACACCGGAGAGGCTCTTGCGTGGCGAAACCTACTAAGATCAAATCCACGCAGCTACGAGGGAGCACAGACTTAAAACTGTTTCTAAGACCGCAAGACCCATGGGAGAAGCTCTTGTATGAAGAAACCTTGGGATCCATTGCAAGCATTTACCATAGATTATGCACTTAAAACCTACCTAACGAGGAAAGCACTTGCCATGGATTTCAAGTGTCAGGAAGCTTGAGCAACTGGGAAGTGGCGAGTTAAAATGGATTGTAGGTCATTTGCAGGCCTTACCCAGGCAAGATCTTAAAATCGGTTCCAAGTGACCGGGTACGAGTGTCCTCTTCTTCTGCACCGTTTGCCACAAATCTGCTACGCAAACGGTGGAGAACCCAAGCCTAATCGTAGACATTGGTGTGATAACAGCTTCCAGCCCGAATCCCCATGGCATTCCATGATTTGTGCTTCGCCAAGTTGCTTTCCGACACCAGGTCCTGCCCAGCCGCGCATGAGCATACCCTCCATCGTTCTCCGCGGCTCTGCATTGAATTTTGGAATTCCATATGTGACCTGATCTGTTCCCAATCATCAACTGCAAGACATGGCCCCAATACAGCGCCATGGCTTCAACACAACAAAATTCATGGTATTTCATGGACAGACAGAGCAATACCCTCCTCTTCAGCCATCTATGGCTATAGCATGCTATAGCCATCTCCACACGTTGTCTTGTATGAGCTTATGGCTTGACTTTTTGGTTCCTAACGTCCCCTAGAAGTATATGTTCTGGGGAAGACACCCGCGCTGAGGTTCTGCCGGAAGCGACTCCTGCGTCATAACCTCGGCACACAAGAAGGTCGCATGTATGTTCCCAAAATGCAGTGCTTCTCAGCACAACCCCAAAGCCCTATACTGTACTCTAATGTCCATTGTTTTGGTTCCACTGAGAGTTCGAAGGGCAATCGATACTACAACGTGATCCCCAATCCTCATGTTCTCAGCACCTCACGCGCTGGCCCTGGGCCCAAACTTTGCGGAAGAACCTCCACGTCCCTGGACGCAGATGCACATTCGGACCCCAGCTCTGGAACCCTTACCCGCGGGACTGCAAGGCCTAGGGATTATTCAGAAAGGGGAGCATGAACCCAAAGTTTAGGCAGCGGTGCACGCTTTAGGTCTTTACGCCGAAGAACACCCCGACCCAAGGAAAGAGAGGTTCGAGTAAGACAGGTGTCAAGAAAAGGCCGCGCCACCTTTGCAGCATGCGTCCTCCACACTTTCGTGCAAGCAACCCGAGTCATCGTTGATGACTGTGGTAGCTTCCGAAGATGAAGCTATCCAATAGAGGCATCTCAAATCTGGGACTTCAACATACGGTCTTGGGGAGGCCCTCAAGCTCCGAAGGGGACTTGAAGGGAAGTTCATCTGCCAGCTCATTAAAAGAACTTGAATTAACGAACTTTACTAATTCTGATTGCTGATCTGACGGTGTTTCATCCTTGCGTGTAGTCCTGAAAAGCTTGCATGATTCTCAACTGTTGTCACTGATGGCCCATCTCCGAACTGTTTTGCTGAGCTCCGGCTGCCTCACGTCACAGCCGGCCATGACACTTCGAGGTGGATTAGATCAGCAAATGACTCTTGATGTTCCTCAATAAATTTTTCTGGCCCCTTCCTTCAGGATCCTTATGATAAGAATCCCAATGATCCCATTGCCTTGTTGTGGTCTAAAGCGGCCTATGTTTCATGAATGCCCATCTCATGTCTGAAATCAAATATACATATACATATCTACAAGCGATCCAAAGCAGCCGCCTGGGCGTGGTTCCAAAATGGACTCCTCTGCTCTGGTCGCTCAGGAATAGTGAAGCACCATCAGCAGCAGCCTGGCTCCTTAGCCCGGAAAAATACAAAAAGTTCAGTAGTACAATACTGGTATAGCAGCGATAATATAATAATAATAGTAGTAGTAGTAGTAGAAGTAGTAGTAGTAGTAGTAGTAGTACAATGCTAAAACAGCAATAATAACAGGGAAACGTCAAACCTGGGATCTGTTACACGGACAATCCGACCAAACTTGTTTAAAGTTCATTGTGCATTTATATCGTTCACTCGCATATACACAAGGAAGTGTGAATTTCAAGCCAAGTACAAAGAACGGCTTTCCGCAAGTGCTTCAGAAGTAGATTACTGGGGAAGGGGCGGCCCTCGCTTTGTACGTGAGCTCCCTGGTGCTGACGATGAACGTGAAAGTGCCTGAGCGATGACAGGAACATGTTTATCCGCCTAATTGGCATGACCGTCCAGGTTTTGGAACCATTGCTGCCGCTGCTGCGTGTCAGTGGCAAATTTCGCCGTAGCGATGCTGGATGGTTCTTATGAACTGAGTGATGCTTTGTCTCTCCCACAAAATGGTGGAAGAAAAGAGCTGCACACTTTTGTTTGCAGTGTCATGGCCGTACCTCATACAGATTTCGATGCGCAACAGCCCGCATCGTCTGTGCCCATGTGGCTAGACACCAGGCTTGATCTCTCTCCTGCCGCTGATCCTCCTTTGGTGAGCTGCCATATAGGGGCGTGAGAGAGGGGCGGCCCGTGGAATTCATGCTTTCTCTTTCGCCTGACTGAGCTTAGTGCCGGGGCCCTCCTTCCTTTTCGCCTGTCTGGGCTGGGGGGCGGCGCGGCCGCACCCTGCAGTGCCGGGGCACTTTTTCTTCTTGACGGTCCTGCAGATCCTGAAGATTCGCAGGATGTTAGTACAGTCCTTCCATTCTGCCTTCCACATTTTGTGAGATGGACACTGTTGCCTGACAGGCCCACAGCGGTCTACGTAGGCATGTTGTCGAATACCTATGTCCTCCTTTGGCTGCTTCCGACGTGCACTGAACATCAGCATCTGTCTCACACTTCTTGTTTCATGGCCATACTGGCATACTCGCCGCTGCTGCCGTTACATTTCCATGCATTTCAAAAAACCCAAACCCTAAATGAAGGTGGCCTCAGAGCTCGCCCGTACTGGGAGCAGCAGTTTGCTCGGCACAACTGGCGTGCCAAACCTGACAAACAGCATTAAAGCCCTCTTCTGAGACGCGCCTTCGACGAGAAGGTTTACAAGCAAGACATGCTGAGCTTTGCGTGCCTTGCAGGCTGGTGTTTGAGGTCTGCAGCTGCCGATCGCCTTCCTGCATGCAGGGTGCGCCGTGCAGATCAACGTGGAACCAAGCATGTCACAGAAAAGCAAGTGGTCGAAGCATCTTCAAGCACAAAAGAAAGCAAAGCCATGCAAAGCCTGTCTGTACGCCATAACATTGTCCATTCCGACAATTCTGACATCAACACTACCAGGCAAGAAAATCATTTACAATTCCCGCCCGACGGCGTGCTCGTTGACTGATTTCTAAACGCCACAAGTTCTACAAAACAATTGCGCAGGCATGGATTTGAAATGGTTCTGACACATGTACAAGAGGAAGTTGCATTTGCAGCCCGGACACAAAGACGGACCTTGTATAGGGCACCCCCAAGCTCCAGAAATGCGGAGCACAACAACACCATGTGCAACCACTTGCACAGACAGCTGCCTCACATTCACATGCGTATGCCTCCTTGCAAAACTGCTGCACCCAACCTTGCGCCAGACCGTCAAAGCCGCTGCCAGCTGTCGTGCTGCCTTCCAAGTTGGCACCCACACGGATTGTTGCAGAGCAATCGCGCGTTGCCACATAGGCCCGGGCATGTTGTGGAAACTCCGCCAGACACCGCGCTGCTTTGCGATGCAACCGGCAGAAGTCCACCACACTGGCACGCACATCAAACGCTGACTGACAAGTGATAAAATTCTACGCACCAGTGCCCCCGCCTCCACGGACCCCACGTCTTGCACACCGGAACCTTTCAGCATGCTGCAGCAACATGCAACTTCAGTGACGCTTCAGTGAGCACCGTAAACACGCAACCACCAAATAAAAATCAGGTAGCGACTGTCATCATGGCGGTCCCCATCCACATGGGCTGTGTCCACCTGAACTTTGATGGCATGCGACTGGCTGCATTTGGTTTTGTACTGTTCTGTAAGCTGTCTCACTGGACAGGTGCTGGTGAGAACAACCACAAGCATGGTACCAAGGTTGTATGGCTGCGCTCGTCACTTCCTCTGCATACATTGCTCCGAACACATTAAATGTGCAGCCGTAGAACACGCTTCAAAAAGCTCAGGACATGATGGATACATATGCATACAACATGTTCACTTAATCTCCGAGCCTCTCGAACGTGTCGCATCTCGTCGGGGCCTGAAACCGACAACCTGCAACAAAAGCATCACGATCTACACCAATTTGCAAAAATGCGTCATGCCTTGCCAAGTCTTGCTAAACAAGATTTCAAACGGCATCCTTAATCAACACAGCAGGCAGCTGTCAGGTAATGGGAAGCACCTGTGTTTTTCCTTTTGGATTTCTGCCTCCATGAAGGGTCTGAGGGGCATTTGCTGGCCATTTTAGACATGTACAATGCTGTGCCATTGCGTATCAATGTTATGCTGATCTTCCACTTAGATTTTTTTGCAGAACATACTCACGGCTGCCAAACTGGAAACGGATGAAGGTTTGTAGGCTGGACGGACTCCCAAGCTTTGTTTTTGTCAAGCGCCTTCTTGCGCCTGCCTGATCTGAAGTCCAGGTCGGCTCACGGCCGCTCGACGAACAACTCGCCAAGGAGGACGTCAGCCCCATCGCTGGCGTCAGCAATTCCAGCAGCGTTTTGCATGTGCCCACATGGCTGCGAGCACCGCAAGGGCGGCCCACCACCTGGCCAGCGCGCAGCCTGCAGCTGCCTGGGCCCAGGGACCCCGCGCTCGAGCACGAGCCCGCGAGCCATTGGAGCACCGCCGACGCCCCTCTGCTGAACCGTCCCCCGACCTAAGCCAAACACAACTGCAGTTCGGGGTAGGTGTGGTGCTTACGCGCGGGCACCTGTTCCAACGCCATCCGGGCCTCGCGTCAGCGCCTGGCCGGGGTTGCCCGTCCCGCTGCAGGGGACTAAACGAGTGTCGTGTCCACTGCTACCCGCGCTCCTTGCCACAGGGGCAAGCCTTTGGCGACTACCTCGATTCTGCGACCATCCGTGGCTGGGATGTCCAGGTTCCGGTCTCGGAGGGCGACACTGGTCGACGCGCGTGTGGGTTGCTCGGTGTGCGAGGACTGCAATGAAAATTATTGCGAACCAAAAAACCCTTCAAATCGGTGACCGATGGCTGCAATGAACATGTTATCAACCACCGAGGATATAATGAACAAAAAGCGCCCACCGCGAACGATTAATTTGTCAAACCAGTGTTCGAATCCTCAAGGACCCAAAGTCTGTGACCAGCAGTTGTAATGGACATGCTTCGAACCACAGGTTTCCCCAACATCAATGATTGAATCATGGAATGAACAACAAATGCCTGTCGCGAACGATGTATTCTTTACGCCTGTTTTCCACCTGCACGACGAAAGTCCAAGTCCCAGGCATAAAAACAAAGAACGCGAGCAGCCGATACCTAAGCGGCAAAGGCCTCATCACAGCGGCAGACTGTTGGGCGCCCTGTGGATGATCCCCGCTAGCGGCACGTCGCTTTTGGCTGCGGGTATCGGAAGAATTGTCCGGACTCCGAGGACGGCGTGCAAGTCGCTCGCTGGACGGCCACCGCCAAGCACCCCACCAGCGCCTCGCCCATCGCTGCGAGGCTGCTCCGCGCACCGTGCAGGGGCGCGGCGCTCGCAAGGCAACAAAGCGCTGCACCCGACGAGGGAATCGTTGTCCCAGCCGCCCCCGATATCAGCGGCAAGAACGCACAAGCGATGCAAGCCCCCGCGAGTGAGCTCAGGGTAATGTGCCAGTGTAACTTTCCAAATTGGTGATCGTCGGCCGTAATAATGAACATTGTTGCGAGAACCCTGGCGCAGCATTTTGCCGATGCCTTCCAGAACACGTGTTTCTCCGACCAATTCGGGTTTGGCCCGGGTTTGGCCCGCCGGCTGAAACCAAGGGTCCTGGCAAGCTCCTTCACATAGTAGCGTTCATGGACCCCGCGCATTCATCTTTTCAAATCGATCCCAGTGGTGTGCACGGCCAAACCATTCATTCTCCAGAGCTTTAAATCCAGGTCAGCGCTGTGGCCACTGCTGTCTCTTGCTCGGCAGTTCCACGGCCATGACATTGCCTACATGCTCCTTACTGGCTCGCGTGCGATCTCAAAGCGCTGTGCCAATGCCATGGTGCCCTTGGGGCGGCTAACTTGGAAAATTAAAGGCATAATTGCTGACATGCCTGCTTCCGATACGAATGCCCAGGGCCGGCTGCCTTCCAGTCGATGTGGTTGCTCAAAAAAAAACCGACCTTTTTGCAACTGGCATCCGCAGTCCCTGCTAACCTGTGGCAAGGCGGCACTAATGCAGAGGCAGTCTGCTAGGACTATTGATTATCGTGAACATTGTTTGGTTTACGGTTAAGGTTCCTTGGGTTTAATGCCGTACTTTGATAGCTAAATGACGGGAAATGCCAGAAATCAGCTTTGTTGTTTCATAAGATGACACTGCAAAGAAAAAATGAAAGCAAGGCGTAGCACATGAGGCGTTCAGTTATGATCTTGAGCGAAGCTTTCCCTTGTGGTGATACCTCCATGGTTCCTGTTGAGGGCCCAAATTGCCTGCACCAGCGCAGGAACATTGAAGTGCCCCAGCTGTAGCTGTTTCCACTTGCAGCCATAGCGCCGAAAAGTCCTCCCTGGCACCGTAGAAGGCGTGCTAAACGTAGCAAAGCACGCTTGAGACTAAGGTCAGGTTTCCTGGATTTCCGCACTGCATCTTTGCTGATACATCACGGGACTCAGTTGAAGCTGCTAAGGCGTCTAAAAGCTTTCGTGAGGTCAAAGCATACGATGACATGGCAACATGGAGGTTCCTGGCATGGATCGCAGTCTTCTCAGGCAGCCAGGTGGCCATCGCAGAATCAATCGCGCGGCCATTTGAAAGGGAAACATGCGGACAAAAAAGGTTCTGGCAAAGGTGCAAAGGCCAACAGCCAGGTGCCGCAGGACCCCCTTGCCAATATTTCGTATACCAATTGCCTACTTCCAGATACAGCCAAGGAGACCAATATGGTCAAGGAGGTGCAGTCATGTGTCAACAGTTTACGGAAAGCGCATGGCAGAGTTCGCAAGTCCCAGGAGGATCTTCAAGCCATCGACAAGAAGTGGCAGCTCTTCCAATCTCGTGTCCAGCGTTTGTATGTGCAGCAGCGCGACCAGTACAGTCGAGACAAGCTTCGCTTGCAGGAAACACTGTCAACAGCAGTTGCCGAGGAAGCCAGCCTCAAGGATCAGCTACGTGTTTTGGCAGTGGATGCCAGCAGCGATGGCCAACAGGCGCCCAAGGAATCTCCCGCCAACTTGCCAAGTTGGTTGACGGCTCCGCCCGAAGCGCCTTTGGATTTAGAAGATTGGGAGGTGCAGGGCTCAGAGGATATGGATTTGTGGATTCAGGGTCAGCTTGCCACGACTGCAGTCAAGGTAGAGCAGTTGGAAGTTCCAGCTCCGTCCAGCCCTCCGCCGGGGTTTTTCGGAGGCAAGGCCATGTACCCTTTTGGCATTCCACCCAAGGGGATGCAGACACAGCCTGTTCCAGTTGTCGTGCCCAATGCGGGTACATCCCCGCTTGCCACAGCCTCGGAAGCTGCTGGCATGATGCCGGCCACACTTCCTCCCACTCATGTGTTAGAAGAAAGCGCAGGAAACACCTTTCCCCCTGTCTCCCTCCAAGCTGTGCACCGAAGCCCCAGATTTGCACTCCAAGGCTACCCCAAACAGGCACAAGGGCACTCCACGGCAGTCAGTCAAGCAGCTTACCAAGCCACCTCCAGCAGTTTCGTCCCCTGGTTTGGCTTCCAAGTTGGACAGCAAACGCCAGGCACTCGCCGCCGCTTTGGCGGAAAAGGGCCTGGCCCAGTCTTCAGCCCACCATGCCGCTACCACCGACTCTCAGCGACCCTGCCAAGTGTTTCATCTGGACGACGACAATCCAGATTTAGGCAGCATGTCGAAGCGCCAGGGCTCTATTTTGGCCAATGCTCGCCATCTCAGTGCGGGACTTTTGGTGTGACAACACGCCACGCAACAGTTTTGTGCACTAACAACGATGCCATGTCACAGGGTGAGCGTCTCCCTCTCGACCTCACCTTGAGACATTATCTTTCTACTGTGTTGATCTTTGCTGATAGGCTCCTGTATTCCCAGAAGCGGTACAGGAGTCGTCGAGGCAAGGCCTTTTCCTCAATGTTTGCGTGTGCTTTGCAGCTACCTTGGGCGAGCGGTTCCCTGTCGATTTCGCCTAGCCATGCAGCTTCGGCTGCCAAGTTTTGCTTCATGTTTTGTGCTGGAGCTTGGGTTGGCTCTATCATGAATATTGTCATTGGCCTGTTTGCGCAGCTTCTGGCCATCCTTTTTTGTGTTTGCGCACCTGTCCGCAGCGCACTTTCTTCACGCAATGGGTATGTTTGGCTGTGGCTGCTGCTTGTCTGCTCTCCCGCCTCTGCAGTGCCACGTTGTGATCACAGCCCTATCCCTATTGCCGTTTCTCATCTTGGGGTCGGCCCTGTCTTGCCTACAGCCGTGGAAACATCGGCATTTGTTACCAGTGTTTCTGGGGTTGGCAGCCGTGGCCCAGCGGAAAATTCCGCAGCAAATTCACTTGCGCAGCCGACACATGTACAGAGTGCCGGATTCCCTATTGCCCTGGCGTCAGCTTTGGGTTTTGATGATGCCAGGGTTGGGCGTAGGACGCTAATGTCGGACCTCCTTTAGCCTAA